CATTTTAATTTTTCTATCAGTTCAAAGTGTTAAGCACACTAACAGTAAAATTAGAAGCAAAATATCTCACCCCACTGTTGCGGGAGGTCCTTCCGCCCCTCCAACCAATAGCTGCTGTGATACCAGCCCATAGGGGCGTGGTCTCTCTCCCTTTAAAAAAGCGGCTATTTCCTCTGCTCGCTCTCTTCTCTTCCTGCTATTTCCTCTGCTCGCTCTCTTCTCTTCCTACTCCGCTGGAGACTAGACTCCCTTCCTGGTTGTGCAGATGACTGTTGTCTGGGATGGTGATCTGTAAGTTTTTTTTCTCCTTTAAATAAATAACACCCTATTAATCATACCTCCACACTGGTGTGGCCTTGTTCGTGACTTACGCCTTCACCTCACCTCAGGAATTCACTGAGATCAGAGCTACATTTATCCAGCCAGTTGTGTCCAACAAGTCCATTTGTTCCTCAAAAGCTACGTCCAATAGCCCACAAAGGTCGTGTTGTCCTCATTCACTGTTTTTGTTTGTTTGCTCTTTCTTTTGTTCATTTTTTTTTCTGCCACAGTGCTTCTTTGTGTACCCTTTGCTGTCCTCACTCTGCAGACCAGGCTGGTCCTTATCTCACGGAGATATGTCTACATCTACCCCCTGAGTGCTGGGATCCAAGGGCTGTGCCACCACTGCTCGCCTTACTTTTAGGATGATAGCACACTAAAACAAATCCTATTACTTAGATATGTTCAACATCTTTTAAAGATATCCCTAAATTGGAGCCCGATCCGTGCTTTTAAAAGATTATCTCTAAATGGGTAGTATATAATTAACATTTTTATATTCCGTAAAGATTTTGTTGCCGACCTGTATGTGCAGATAATGTTTCATTTATATATGGTTCCTTTTCAGGAAGGAATTATCAATTTTTATTATAACTTGTATAGTAATGTGTATCCCAAAGCAGTTATCTTTTACTATGGCACAGAAATGATAAAAGTTCCAACCCATGGACCAGATGATTAATTTAGATCTAATTAATATCCAAACTGCAGTTCACAACCAGAACAAGAAAGCAGTAGTAGTAGTTAAGTAGTAGCCATTCACTCATGCAGGTAGATCATTTACTTAGAATACAAAATATGGTGGGTATCATAATAAAAGTATTTTAGAAAACCCCCTCCATAGGACTTCGGGGTAAATGATAAGAAAATAACAAAAACCAATATATCAGATATTGAGGAAACTCACTAACAAATAAGAGTTCAAGGCAAGCCAACAAGTATTGGCTTGATCACTAACATCATGAGATAGAGCCTTTATCTCTTCATGTACTTGTACAGCAGAAGCTGGAGGAAAAGTGCCATCTGCTACTTTCCTAGAAATGGCTTAGGGCAAGGGTGAGGGGTCCGGAGAGCCAGCAGGGAGTGTTCCTGCCACTGGGACTTCTTTCTACCATCTCATCTTGCCCTCAAGCTCACCTTTTTGTCTGCAAGGTCCTTGGAATCCTGCAAGAGACACTGCTCCCGTGCTGAGGACAACCGGAGAAGTGAGTAAGTACCCACACAGCACACAGCCTGAGTGCCACTCTCTGGGACAGTCCCCAGGGGACTGAATCCAGGCCACCTCCAATTCCCTAAGCTTTTCTGGACATCCAGTGGGGTGTGTTCCCTGCTGCTGGCTTTCTTTACCCTATTCCACCCTGCCCCCAAGCCTGCCTTTTCATCTGCATGGTTCTTGAATCCCCCAACACAGCCTGCTTCAGGTCAGAGGGGATCTAAGAGCCTGCTCCAGTTCTGAGGGAACCTAAGAGAGGGCAGACCAAGAAAAACTTCCAAGCACACAGTCAGCCCACAACATCAAGTTCCAAGGAGAGACCCAGAAGATCATCCCGGTGGCAAAAGCCATTCCACATCCAGCCCACAACTCTAAGGATGACTCCAGTGACATCATGCTCTTAAAGGTGAGAACTGTCCCCACAACTGCCTGTGCTTTGTTTGTTGCAGAGATCGCCCCTCCCCTCCTGATCTCATTCTGTTTCTTCCCTCCCTGCCATCCTTTCTTTCAAAGTGTCCCAGGCCAGCAAGCTCCTGGCTGAGCTGCTCTCTCCTGCTTCTTCCCCCACAGCTAGAGAAGAAGGCCAAGGGACTAAAGCTGTGAGGCCCCTCCCTCTGCCCGGGTGTAATGTCCATGTGAAACCAGGGAATGTGTGCTATGTGGCAGCTTGGCGAAAGAGTCCCAGAGGGTGAATTTCCCAAATACACTATAAGAAGTGGAACTAACAGAACAGAAGGGTTAGGAGTGTGAGTCCCACTATCCAGATTGTTACAACAAAGGCTTTGAGATATGTGTGGCGGACCCAAATATCAAGCATGCTTCCTTTAGGGTAAGTTCGATTTTCATCCTCTTTGGGCTCCATGGGAGGGGGAAAGCAATCTGGGACCTAGAGAGCAAGCTTCATGGGACTCCTTGATCTTTCTCCCTGGCAAGGGCAGTAACTAGTAACTAACCAGGACTTCAGAGCTGACAAGGAGCCTCGGTGAAGACAGCTGTTGTATGGCAGGATTTGCACAGTCCTCCTGACTCCTAGGACCAGGCTTTGGAAAGCTGTTCTCCCTGTGTGCGTGGCGTGTGTGTGTGTGTGTGTGTGTGTGTGTGTGTGTATGTGTGTATGTGTGTGTCTGTCATTACCACAAGCCAATGTGTCCTCAGAGGAGGCACCCACTTTTGTCAATGTTCTGGTCTTCCATGCTTATATCAATTCCATTCACCCGACCCCATGTTCTTAACAATAGCCTGGAGCTGAGAGTCCTACACACATTCATAGGGAGTAGATCACAGTGGAGAAAGGGCGGAGGCCGGGCTCAGGAGGGAGGTGAAACAGTAACCCTGACCACAATCAGAGTGGGAAGCCCAGGGGTCACAGGCCTGCCCTCCAATCTCCCACAAACAAGTGCACAAGTCTTACTCATCATTTCTACTTAGTCCCTGTGGTCTCTCTTTATTCACAGCGGGATTCTGGAAGGCCTCTCCTGTGTAACAGCGTGCTTGCAGGCATCAGATTCTCCTATGAGAATAAAGATGGTTATGCACCAGGAGTCTTCACCAGTGTAACAAAGGGTTGGGGAAACTGGGAGGATCTAGATGTATGAATATATAATAATTTTTCTATTAATTTAAAGTGCTAAGTATACTAACAGAAAAATTAAAACCAAAATATTTCCTTTCATCTTAGAAATTCACTGAGACCGCAGCTCTGTCCTTCAAGCCAGTTGTGTCCAACAAGTCCACTGTTTCTCAAAAACTATGTCCAATAGCCTGCAAAGGTCATGTTGAACTCATTCATTCACAATTTTTTGTTTTTTTCTTTTTTTTCGGAGACAGAGTTTCTCTGTGTAGCTTTGAGTGTCCTAGAACTCACTCTGTAGTCTAGTCTGGCCCTGAACTCACACAGATATGTCTGTCTCCAGAGTACAGGGATTAAAGTGGGATTAAAGTGGCATACTTCAACTGCTCTTCCTACTTTTAGGATGAAAACACACTAAAAGAAATCCTACTATTTAGAGGTGTTCAATTTCTTTATTACATATCACTAAATTGGAGCTTGATCCATGGTTTTTTTTTTTTTTGATTCCCTCCAAATGGGCACCATATAATTAAGATCATTGTATTCTAAGGATTTTGTTGCTTAGCTGTATGTGCAGATATTGTATCATTTATATATGTTTCCTTTTCAGAGAGGAATTATTATTCTTCATTATGGCTTATATAGCAATGTGCAGCCCCAAACAATTATTCCTTCACTGTGACCCAGAAATGCCAAATGGTTACAACCTATACACGGGATGATTAATTTTGATACAATTAATATCAGGACTGCAATTCACAGCAATGATATGAAAGCTTCTATGGAAACAAAATATGAAAGGAGAAAATTTAAAAATATTCGAAAAACCTTAAGCTGTGGGAATTCAGAAGGACCTTGGTTGCTCTGTGGTTATCTGCATGTACATGCTTACACACACACACACACACACACACACACACACACACCCTTGTTCTTAAGCCAAGAACATCCTGTCTCACCTCCCAGAGTTGATCTCACAGAGCTCTAACAGCGTTGTGCTCTCAACTCAGATCCTCAGCCCACTCCTGTCAATCTCAGCCTTTTCAAGGCTGGAACCCTGTTTTTCCTACTTCTGAATCTAGCCCTCTAAATAGACTTTCAGGATCTTACCATGGTCCTTGTTTATCTACAGTAAATTCTGGGCAATGCTGTAGAAAGTACCACTACAGTACTCCCTCAGCAGGGAAGCCAGTTATGACCTTAACTTATTAAACTTTAAATTCAGTCCTGAATCTCTGGTTTGAAGATAAATGCCAATACATAATTAACAAGTAACCGATGCATGTCATTTGTGATTCGTTATTGTGCTTAAGTATATATGACGATAAGACATGATCGTTGGGCACAGGGAAAACATTGAGATTTCCATGTGACACCCTAGCAGTTTAAGAGAGTCAGAGTGAGTTAAGATTAAATCATCAAATGACTCCAACAGATGATTCCTCAGTATGATCAGAAGTCTGAGAGGTTAATCAGAAGATGTACTGAAACTCCACCTAGCCAAATATGGCTCTTCCTAACTCTCACTAAATACTGTATAACTTTGTCTGTGTATTTGTAGTGCTATAACTGTTGAGTGGTAAATTGATTGTCTGTATTATTTAAAATGGAAAGAAAAAACCAAAAGAGAACTTACCAGAATACAAAAGATGTAAAAGGTAAAAAGGACACACTTTGGCTCAGTGCAGTCACCTTAGACTTCCTGGGGTCTCAGGGCCCCTCAACCACAGCCTCCACACCCTCTGCTCTCTTGGTCTTTACCCCAGCTTAGCTCATGTCAATGTGGTAATACTGACATTTTACTCAAACCAGAAAATGTCCTTAAGTACTGTAGCCAATCAGAGCAGAGGTGCACAGGTTTAAAAGGCCTGTGAGGTCACTGAGCGCTCACCTCATTCATCCTTCAAGGGCTGTGTCCACTCTGACCTCCTCCAACCTGAGCAGCCTCCTAAGAAGATGGCAGCAGTCTTGATTCTTCTGACCTTTCTTCTGCCACTTGGAGCTGGTGCAGGTGAGTGAGCACCCCTGTTCCAGAGGTGCCATCCCATAATACCTCTAGCCCAGCTCTAGTCAGGAACTTCCTGCACTGAACCAGGAGCTTCCTGAGCCTAAGGTCCCATTCCACCCAGACCTGGAAGCCTATCACTGGCTAGATCCTCAACAAGGTCTGGAGAAGTTTGGTGTCCTCAGTGGACATGGTGGGCACTAGCTTCTCCCTGCTCTGTGTCACCTGGAGAGTGCATCATCCCAAAAAAGAGAAATAGAAGAGAACGAAATAAACCCAAAAGGTACATCATTAAACTTAGCTCAGCCCAGACCAAGGACAGCTTTAATAACCACCCTGCCATGGAGTATGCCACCAACTCAAGGATATTTGTATTATTTAGTAACCTCACCCTCAGGTTGTTGAAGAAAGAGGCGCAGAGTGACAAGATGTCAGCATTTCACACTCCACTAGCTTTGAAGTACAGTTTTGGTTGGCTTCTCCACTTCTTTCTTCAGGTCAACAACTATTCCCTTTATGCCAGCACAGTCCTCCACTGTCCCCTAGGCTCTGGACCCCATGAGCTCTGAACCACCAGTCCTCTAGCTAAGTAGAAGTCATTCTTCCATGCAGGCTAAGCATTTCCTGGGACCCTAGGATATGATGGGCACCAGAACAGGAGAACTTTAGAAAATCCCTCTCTAAAGAGCTTAGGGTAACAGATGACGAATTGGCAGAAATCAAGATATGAGATGTCTCCAGAGACTCACTAACAGAGAAAGACTAACAGTGAACCTCCCAGCATTCCCTTGGTCTCTACATCATGAAGAAAGAAGTTTGTCCCTCCATGTATTTGTAAAGCAGGGGCTGGAGGCCAAGTCCTACCACTTCTTCTTAGAACAGGACACTGAGGCTTCAGACTCAGCAAAGATCATTCTATGTGCAAGGAATTCTGTCCACAACAGTCTTGGGGAACTATTATCTTACCCCATCACCCCTCCCTAGATTATCCCTCCTACCTCATCTGCTGCTCCCAGACACCTCATATTCTAGCCTTTTCTTTCAGAGGAGATCATCGGGGGCCATGAGGTCAATACCAACCACCGCCCCTACATGGCATTAATTGTATCCGTGCATGGTGATGGGAAAAGGCATCGCTGCGGAGGCTTCCTGGTGCGAGACAACTTTGTGCTGACAGCTGCTCACTGCAGGGGAAGGTGAGGAGAAGCTGCTGGCCTGTGTTTTCTGAGACCCCAACAGGAGTTTCCATCCTCTACTCGTTGCTGCTCCTGTGGGAGCTCACTAGAAGGCAGGGCTGTGACAATGGAAGTCTGACAATAGGGAAACTGAGGTCAAAGGGTGAGAGGTCAGAGCTAGAAGCATTCTTGGGTTGAAAGCAACTACACTGGTCAGACTAAAGCAGTAGCTGAGGTTGAAAGTGTGCATTCAGAGTCAATGCAAACTTTGAGTATTGTCTAGAAGCAAAAGGAACCCTCAGGGGTCTAGTGTCCTTGAGAAGCAAAGAGAAGCAGGTCAAGAGGTGAGGCCCTTCTGTCTCTTCAAGTCTTCTCAGCTAGAGCCCCACCCTGCCCACCCAGCCTCTTACAGCTCCTGCACTGTGTCCTCTCTCACTCCACATCTCCCATCTGCACTCTGCTCTCTGCAGCGCAATGAAAGTCATTCTAGGAGCCCACAACATCAGGATCCAGGAGGAGACCCAGCAGATCATTCCTGTGGCAGAACACATCCCACACCCAGACTACAATCCTAAGGATGGCTCCAATGACATCATGCTCTTAAAGGTGAGAACTTCCTCCACAGCTCTCTGTGCTCTGCTTGCTGCAGGGATCGCCCCTCCCCTCCTGCTCTCATTCTGTTCCTTCCCTCCCTGCCATTGAAATTCTCAAAGGGTCCTAGGCCAGCTGGCTCCTGGCTGAGCTGCTCTCTCTTGCTTCTTCAATCACAGCTGGAGAGGACGGCTAAGAGGACTAAAGCTGTGAGACCCCTCAACCTGCCCAGGCGCAAGGTCCTTGTGAACCCTGGGGATACATGCTACGTGGCTGGTTGGGGAAAGTTGGCTCCAAATGGTAAACTCTCAGATACATTGCAAGAGGTAGAGCTGAGAGTCCAGAAGGATCAGGAGTGTGAGTCCCGCTTTCCAGGTTGTTACAACAAAACCATTCAGATCTGTGTGGGGGACCCAAAGATCCATCGTACTGCTTCTGTTGTAAGTTGAATTATACTCTCTGGATTGCACGGGAAGGGGAAAGCGATCTGGGACCTTGAGACCAAACATCAATGTACTCCTTTGCCCACTGGTTATGATCTTACTCCCTGGGAGCAGCAGTCACAGTAACTAGCAAGGGTCTCAGAGCTGCCAAGGAGCCTTGGTGAAGGCATCTGGTAAAAAGCAGGATTTGCACAGCCCTCCTGACTCCAAGGCCCAGGCTTTAGAAAGCTTTGCTGTGGGTAATAACCTCAAGCAGGGGTCTCCTCAGAGCAGGCACCCACATTTGTCAATGGTCAGGTCCTCACATCAGACCTGTCCCCATGTCTCTTAAACAATGGCCTTGAGCTGAGGGTCCCACACACCTTCATAGGGAGTGGATCACAGCGGAGAAAGGGCAGAGGCCAGGCTCAAGAGGGAGATGAAGCAGTAACCATGTCCATAATCAGAGTGAGAAAGCCAGGGACCTGAGGGTTTCTGTCCTCTTATCTCCCACAAGCAGAGCACACAATTCATGCACTTTGAAGAGGAGCCTCGACTTGAGAGGGAGGCTGGGACTACGGTGAACTGCTCAGTCCCCTGTTGGAGTGGCATTTTAATTATATTTTAATAAATAAAGACTGACTGAAGAGCTGAGAGTGAAACATTTCCACTGGTCAATCTTACAGACAGTGTACACACACCTTTAATCCCAGTAGCCACAAGAACATGCACCTTTAATCCCAGTCCTAGAGAGGAATATAAAACGGGAGGAGACAGCTCTCAGAGGCAGTCTCCTTTTGAGATTCCAGGAGGTAGGATCTCCATTTCAGACAGAGGTTGAGGTAAGAGCCTGTGGCTGGCTTCTTTCCTTTTTGGATCTTCAGGTTGAACCCAAATTTCTGAGTCTGTGTTCTTAATAATCATGCATCGAGAAGCAGGTTTGGCTGTTGACTTTGTAGAGTAAAGCCAAATCCGAGCAGAGATACAGAGTGAAAGTAGGCAGAGTCAGGGAGATACCATGTAGCTGCCACAGGAGAAAGATGGCAGCCACCAGTAGGCCACAACCTCATGGTCATACGTAGATCGATAGAAATGGGTTACTTTAAGATATAAGTGTAGCTAGAAATATGCCTAAGCTATTGGCCAAAGAGTGTTGTAATTAATATATTTTCTGTGTTATTATGTGGGTTCGGGCAGCCAGGAAATGAATGGTCTCCACTTACACTCTGTGACCCTTATCCTTTCCCAGGGGGATTCTGGAGGGCCTCTCGTGTGTAAAAAAGCAGCCGCAGGCATTGTCTCCTTTGGGGATGAAAATGATTCAGCTCCATGTGTCTTCACCAGAGTGTCAAGTTTCCTATCCTGGATAAAGAAAATGATGAAACCCAACTAACTACAGAGCAAACCAGATCTCTCCCTGACTCACCATCTTCCCTACAGCTGAGTCCAGGATTGTCCTAGGACAGAAGCCAGCATCTCAATAAAGGTCTCTCTGCAGAATCAAAAGACTGGTTTCATTTCACAGGGATTATCTCTGTGCTTAGCCAGCCAATGTCACACTTTTGCTCTTTGATCACCCTAACTCTATACACGCACCTTGCCCAAAGCTCAGACGAGGCCACTGAGCAGCTCCTTTTAACTAGTCCCACTGTGCAGTGCCTGCCCTTGTGACTGGCTCAAAGCTGAGCGTGGGTTTCTCTTGTCTTGGGTCTCAGGGCAAACTCTTTTCCTCCTCTGTGTCATATGGAAGAAAGGTNAAACAAATGGTCTCGACTTACACCCTGTGACCCTTCTCCTTTCACAGGGGGATTCTGGAGGGCCTCTCCTGTGTAAAAAAGCAGCTGTAGGTATCGTCTCCTTTGGGGATGAAAATGGTTCAGCTCCATGTGTCTTCACCAGAGTGTCAAGTTTCCTATCCTGGATAAAGAAAATGATAAAACGCAACTAACTACAGAGCAAACCAGATCCCTCCCTGACTCACCATCTTCCCTACAGCTTAGTCCAGGATTGTCCTAGGACAGAAGCCAGCATCTCAATAAAGGTCTCTCTGCAGAATCAAAAGACTGGTTTCATTTCACGGGGATTATCTCTGTGTTTTGCCAGCCAATGTCACACTTTTGCTCTTTGCTCACCCTAACTCCATACACACACCTTGTCCAAAGCTCAGGGGAAGCCACTGAGCAGCTCCTTTTAACTAGTCCCACTGTGCAGTGCCTGTCCTTGTGACTGGCTCAAAGCTGAGCGTGGGTTTCTCTTGTCTTGGATCTTTGAGCAAACTCTTTTCCTCCTCTGTGTCATATGGAAGAAAGGAGAGGGAAAACACCACGGGTATTGAAGAAGGGAGTCTGATCTGAGCCTAGGATTTCTTGAGCAAGAGACCTCAATGACATCTAATTTCCAGTCAATAATTTTGTGGCATCTCATACAACAGATGAGCCCATGCTCAGACTCCCCCTGGAGAGAAAATGCTGGGTTCTTCCCACAGCTGCATGATGAAGGTGTTCAAAGCCACCTTGCTTTGCTCCCGTGAGCGCATACTGGAGTAGAACCAGAGGCAGTAAATGCCTTACCCACAGACTACTTGAGATTCCTCCAATCTATGGAAGTATCTCCCAGCCCTCACTGTTTGCATAGAGCTTACTGAGCTCCCTAACATCTGTACTGATGTTCTGTATCTGGGGAAGGAAGTGCTTCAATTCAACAAGACTCAACTTCTCTGCTTCCCCAGGTCATTGGTTTCCACTAAACCCCCAAGGACACAGACCAGACAAAAGACCACACGGTTTTCTTGTTCGTGCTGGGGATCCTACTGGTATTCCTCCATTGTCCTATACTATGTCAGACATTTGCCAGCATCATTCTCTGTGGACTTAGGCAATATAGAGTTTCTGTTCTGTATTGGTGTCCCACGCCACCTTTCTGTGGTGGTTTTTAGTGACTATGTCCCCTCTAGGCTCATGTATTTGAATCACCTGGTTCCTGGTTAATGATGTTGTTTGGGGATGTTAAAAAATATGGCTTTGATGGAGCAAGTCCATTGCTGGGGCAGGAATTGACTCACACCACTACTAATCTTCTCTCTCTGCTATTATTCCGTGTGCGTGTGTGTGTGTGTGCATGTGTGTGTGTGTAACTATTTTATAGCTCTTGAGCATGAAGTTTGTTGATGACAACATGTTCCAATGCTGTGCAAAATGAATATGTGTGTGCTCTTGGAATTGTGAAACATGCCTGACTTCAGTGCCATGCCGCCAGTGTTTTACTTCCAGGTGAAGACCGTCAAACTGGCACCACCCTATTTTCACGTGCTCCTGGTGACTTAGCAAAGCAAACAGATGTTATCAATGAAATTTTAATCTACAAGGCAGAATGGGTTTTTAATGGTATTTGGAAAACAAGTAAGCATTCCTTTTTGATCATTAAGACACACCCACCACAATCTTGCCTCACACTACCATCCAGCCACCGTTTTACAATCAGCTCTCACTCTGCACTGCATCCACAGCTGATATGTAGAAATACTCAAATCTTGCTAGTTTCTTTTCAATTTTCATAATAAAAATAAATATAGTTCCTTATCTATTATTATTTTTAATTGCAGCATGGCTTCTATACCATGATAGAATATAATACAACTCAAAAAAGAGAGAAGATCACTCAACAGAAAGGGGGCATGCAGCTACTTTTTGTCAGGTAAACACAAGACTCTGTTAAACCCTTCAGAATTTGCGAGTGTTCATAAAGGTGATAACAGAGAAGGCATTACATGCAAATCATGCTACCTAACATAGTATCTGTCAAGGATGGTGACACAGGCACAAAGCAGTGGAACTGAGTAGGGATGTCTTCTCAATAACAAAAACACTTAAAGTTTTAGTATAGGATGGTAAGGATGTGGCTTAATGAATAAGAGCACTATCTGAGCAAGCAGGTGAATTTGAGTTCAGATCCTCAGCACCCACATAACAGATGTTGAGTAGGGCTGATCACCTGTATCCTCAGTGCAGACACAGGAAGACGGCTGATGCTTGCTGCTAGAAGCCTCAACAAAACAGTCTGTTCCAGGTTCAGGGAGAGACGCCATCTCAAAGGACTAAGATGGAAAACAGTAGAGGAACCTGACATCTTCCTCTGCACTTATACAGGCATGGGAACACATACATTGACATACATGTTTACACCAAGCGCCATAGATTGAAAAAGATAGTCACACCTGTTCTAGTTATGTTCTGTTACTCTGATAAAAAAAAAAAAAACACTTTCCCAAAGTGCTTGGCCAGGAAAGGGTTGATTTGGCTCACATGTCCCACCTGCACTCCATCACTGATGGCAGTCAGGGCAGGCAGGCACTCGAGCAGGATCAGGGGCAGGAACCTCAGAGGAAAGCTGCCTGCTGGTTCAGCTTGCTCTCTTACACAACCCAGGACCTCATGCCCATGGATGGCACTACCCAGAGTAGGATAGGCCCAATTTCATCCATTAGCAACTAAGAAAGTACCCCCACAAATATGCCCACAGTCAATCTAATGGTTACAATCCTCAATTAAAATCTATTCTTCCCAGGTGTTTCTAGTTTATGTCAAGTTGACAAAAAGTACCCAGAAGAGCCAGCTAGCTCGGCTCTGGGATAAAAAGCTAGACATGTAGTTATGTGGTTATATTTAAAATACTAAAAAAACAATCAAACCATGAAAACCATTTCTTGATGGTGAGTCCACTGAGAGGTGTACAAATAGTGTTACAATTCTGATATGCCCTAAGCAGTAGGAAAAATTTATTAATAAACTCATTGGTTTTAAAGCCAAGACAACAGAAGAGCCTGAGAAAAATAATCTATCCAAAGAATTTTGGAGACCACAACTACTGATGTTAAATCTTATTCTTTGGGGATGGATGACAGTGCTGATGCAAAGAACAGCCCAACCTGACATTTTGGTTCCAGGTGGTGATGATGGAGCTAACATTATTGAAGAAATAATGCCATGGAAAGACACTAAATAAATACTTTTTGTATGGGGCAATGAAAAATATAAAGAAATGGTTTTCTTTGTCCATAATCAACCTAACTAGTACAGCTGCTGCTGATGCCCAGAGATGGTAGTTTAAAGAGACAGACCAGCCTGGCAGTGGTGGAGAAAGCCTTTAATCCCAGCACTGGGGAGCAGAGGCAGCTGGGTCTCTGAGGTAAAGCACAGCCTGGTCTACAGAGAAAGTTCCACAACAGCCAGGGACACACAGAGAAACCCTGTCTCAAAAATAAGTAAATGAATGAGAAAATCAAATAAATTAAATGTGTAAATCAAAAGAAAAAGAGGAACTTGTAAAATTAAAAGAAGACAGTGCAATTACCACATGATACTCATGATTAATGATGTGTTCTTGCAGAGGTCATTAAGAAAATTTATGCAAAAAGAAGAAGGTCTCAGTGGGAATTCTGGAGGATGACAGGGAATGATCTTGGGCAAAAATGACCAAAAACATTGGATATATACATGAAATTGTCAAAGAAGACTAGCTGAGTTCTAAAAGGAAATTTAATGTAAAATCATTAAAAAAATGGGAAATCTCACCAGTATTGAGTTTCATAAGGGACAAGGGATTTGTTGAAATAAGAGCGGCTGGGCTGTGTACCCAGCACCCCGGCTGCCTGGCTAGCTTATGTCCCAAAATAGCGACACACAAACTGTATTCTTTTACGCACTGCTTGGCCCATTTCTATCTAGCCTCTTCTAGGCTAACTCTTGTACCTGGACTAACCCATTTCTAATAATGTGTGTAAGCACCCCAAAGGTGCACTTACCGGGAAGATTCTAGCCTACGTCCATCCTGGGTCGGAGCTTCATCGTGCGTGTCCTGCTTGAGAGGAGCTGTGTGAAGTCTGTCTGAGGAGTCTTACCTCACTTCCTCTTCCTCCCAGCATTCTGCTCTGTTTACTCCTCCCACAGGGCCAAGCAGTTTCTTTATTGCTTAACCAATGAAATCAACAGATTGATATATGATACTTCCACATCAGGGATTAAATCATCTGCAATGCCAGGAATTCATGAAAATTGTTCATGGTAACTCTGATGAAATCATTTACATTTTAGAAGTAAGATGGCCACTCTGTGGACATTACTAAAACATTATTTGGTTACTTACAATGTTGTAAACAATATTTATGCCAGAATTTGGGAATGAAAACTCAATTATAGATTGACCTTTTAGTGGATTTGACTGTTTACTTCATCTTTAATGGGAAAACCAACCTCTCAATACCATGTTTTACACCTAAGTGCTCCAGGAGAAGGCACAATTATAGTAAGCTCACTTTAAGGCAAATAACTGTATTTCAATTCAGCTCAATACCAGTTTGTAAACAGTGACATAACCTTACTATTACATTTGATAGGA